AACCAAAAATACTAACTTGTGTCTCGGTTGATTTTTAAAGCTTGATCACATACGTGTTCACTTTTGAACAAAATCCTTTAGGAAAGGCATGAACACGTCTCTTCTCCATTCCTTCTGCTATGAGTTAACTAAAAGAGTAGACTACATACTGTAATGTTGGGGGACAATCAGTCTAAATAGAAGGAATCTCTGATGTCCAAACCGTGAAAAAGGAAACCACTCTTTTAATTATCCATAATAAAGGAAAATGGATCTATGGAGAATCATAACCGCTTAAATCCTGTAGGACATCACACACACACACACACACACACACACACACACACACACACATATATATATATATATAGATAGACATACAAACACGGTTTGTTAAATTCAACCCACAAGGTCTCCCAATGTACTACTTCGAAAACTGAAAAAATGCAATAAAAAAAATCTTGTCTGTTGAAAAACTTGTTTGATCAATTCTTGCTACCTAGATACACCTATATATATATATATATATATATATATATATATATATATATATATATATATATATATATATATGATGAGGTCATGGTATATATTTTTATATACCAAGAACACCACTGGGGAAATTTTATGTCAAATAGAAAAAGTTGACTTGTGAAGTCCACCGACCTAAATTTGTTATGGTTGCAAGGACTGCACATGCACACGAACGAGCTGCGCTGAGAATTTTAGCTTTTTTTTTTTAAGTCGAATTCATTTAGAGCTTTTTTTCTTTTTCTTTCCATCACTTTTCTAATTAGGTATTCCACACTGTGATATTAGAAGATCTACCAGGAATAGTGAAATGTTGTAAGACCCATGGCGCAAATTTACTGTAGATGACCTTGTCTCTCTAGACATTTATGTCGGAGTGAATTATTTTCTCCTTTGACCATGGTAGCATTTTTTATGTCAGAATTGTACTCGGTCTCCTTACGGTGAACAACCAATGCAGTTTATGTATTATTTTGTAAAATCTCCTTTTTGTGTTCATTAATCTTTTATTTATATTCCTTGAGGTTTCTCCTCTGTATATTTTGTGGCAATTATTACAGGCGATGGAGTAAACGCCTCATTCAGGTTTTAGCTTATTGCTTTGTTTATTATTGAGTAAGTCTTTTATTGTTTTTAGATGTAGCAGTAACAACTTTTTAAGTTTTGTTTAGTTAGATTCTTTTCGATTGTAGATGTGATAGAGTTTGTAGGCAGGATTATATATTTTTTGATTCATTGGGTGTCTCAGGTGGGGGCGGTTTTTTTTGGGGGGGATATTTCGTGGGCCTTTTGTTTCGAACTGAATATAAAATAATTAGGGTAACGGAAATGCTGACAGCCTTAGATGACTTTGGCATAAACAAGATGACCGAAATAACAAATGAAACCTACAACAGCGGGTATATTCCGGGAGCCTCTTCATAGCAATGACTAACGAATGCAAACTCCACCGAACAATAAGCCTAATGAGCCACGTGACAAAACCTATCATCCGTATTCTGATGAACAGAGCGTGCAGCAGAATCAGGCCAAAGATAGGACGAGAACAGTACGGGTTCGTTAAAGACATCGGAGCAAGGAACACGATATTCATGCTCAGAATGTTATCAGAAAGAGCGATACAAATGAAGAAGGATGTGTACCTATGTTTCATAGACTATGCAAATGCCTTCGACAAAGTACACCATAAGGATCTGCTGGAACTGCTGAGCAACCTTGATATATTCGGGAAAGACATTAGAATAATCGAGAACCTATACTGGCAGCAAACAGCATGCATTCGCAGAGAAAACAAATTCAGCGAATATCGAAAATGGAAAGGGGCATAAGGCGAAAATGCGTCTTCTCACCCGATTTGTTCAACCTAAACAGCACTGGAATTCTGAGAGAATTGAAAACCCTACCAGGATTTAACATTGGCGGCCACAATCTTAACAACATAAGATACGCAGATGACACAGTACTGATAGCAGACAGGGAAAAGAAATTACAAAATCTCCTACAGATGGTAGCAACGGAGAGTGTGAAGAAGGGACTAAGCATAAAATATAAAAAAACAGAATGCATGGTCATCAGTAAAAGGATGAGCCCGAAATGCGATTTGCAGGTCGGGAACACTAGAATCAAGCAAACTCGGAAGCAAACTCGGAAGCGTTCTGACAGAGGACGGTAAATGCGACACTAAGATCCGTAGACGTATTGGGATGGCCAAGGATACATTACAAAGGTTGAGCAGAGTTCTACGAGACAAGAGGTTTTCTTTGGTAACAAAGAAAAGAATACGGAGCTATTACGTGACATCTGACCTTCTTTACAGCAGCGAATGTTGGACGATTTCCTCAAAGATGAAGAAGAGACTCGAGGTGATGGAGATGTGGTTCTACAGAAGGATGCTGAGGATATCATGGACCGATCGTGTGAGCAACTATGAGGTCTTAGTGAGGGTGTAAACAAGGAGGGGGCAGCTGAAGTTCCTGAGACACATAATGAGGAAGAAGTGCCTGGAAAATCTGATACTCACAGGTCGAAAAGAGGTAAATAGAGACAAGGGAAAACAACGCATAACATACCTAGCGGCAAGTGGATGACAGAACGTGGTCTGGGGTAGGTGGCAGAGGGAAGGAACTTGTTGAGAGCTGCAAGGGATAGAAGGAGGTGGAGAGCCATGATCACCTACGTCCTGAAAGGACACGGTGCATAGAAAGTAAAAATTGTACCGGAGAAATTTGAAAGTGTTTTCACTGTATTTCTCTTTTTCGTTTAAGTAATCCGAGCTGCATATTCTTAGAGCTCTTAAGTAGAATCCGATGATTATGCCGGGTTTTATTTTGTTGTTATGAGAAGAATAGTAATTTATTAAGTCGTTTTTCTTGATTGATTTCTGGTGGATACCGAGTTTTGTTAATACGGTGTAACTTGATATCTAGGAAGGGTAAGGGATTGTGTTTTCCATTTCGTATGTAAATTCCATTGTGTGTTTGACTTTGTTTACTTGATCTGCTAGATCAGGTAAATCAATATCTCGTGGACATATAAGTAGAGCAGCATCAATATAACGAAAGTATGTTGATTGTTTGGGTATAACGCGGAATGTCCTACCAACATAACAAAATTAGTTTAATGAAGTCCTGAAGGACGAACAGCGTCACAAGTAAACTTTTTACTCTTTATCATAAAATTTCCACAATATATATAAAGGGTGTTTCATTAAGATGGATTATATATAAGGGTGTTTCATTAAGACGGATCAAAGTCAGCAGTAAATAAATCAGTGTTAGTGGTGAAAATTTATTTATTTCTCTATTGGATCATGTTATTTACCTCATGGCAACTATGTGTGAAAAATAATATCGCCCAAATGTCCGCCATATCTGAAAGAAAAAGAAAAAATCATTAGATGCTTAAATTTCATTCACATTTAAAATCGGTCCAATTTATTGGAACATCCTTTATATATATATATATATATATATATATATATATATATATATATATATATATAACAAAGAACTGCTGGATAAATTTGACATGTGTGAAAAGTATATTAGAATAATCCAGAACCTATACTGGCAGCAAACCGCCTGCATGCGGATAGAAAATGATTTCAGTACATACACAGAAATAAAAAGGAGTGTAAGAAAAGGATGCATCTTCTCACCAGATCTTTTTCAACCTATAAAGCGAAGTCACTCTGAGAAAATTAGAAGTCCTACCGGGATTCATTATTGGCAGCCCTAATCTTAAAAACATAAGATATAAAGGTGACACAGTGTTGTCACAGTATTTATAGCAGACGCATAAATAAAACTAGCAGAATTCCTACAGAAAGTAGTGGAGAAAAGCGAGAAGAAATGACTAAACATCAATTGCAAGAATACTGAATGCATGGTTGTTAGTAAAAGGGAGGGCCCAACGTGCAAATTACAGACTGGAGATAACGAAATCAATAATTTACATATCTGGGCAGTGAATTAACAGATGACGGAAACTGTAAGACGGAAAACCAAAGGAGTATTTGGATTAGCGAAAGTTGCTTTCCAAAAGCTGAGCAAAGTATTAAGAAACAAAAAAAAAATATCGTTAGAAGAAAAGGGTATAGAACTGTTATGTAGTATCAGTCCTGCTTGCCAATCTCTTCACAGATTAAGAAGAAATTTAAACCAAGAGAAATGTGGTTCTAAAGGAGGATGCTGAGAACACCATGGGCAAAACATGTGAGAAACGACGAATTTCTACAAAGGCAACAAAATGAACACTTATGCTTAACATTAGAAACAGACAGTTGAATTTTAATGAGGAAAAAGGACTTGAAAAATTTGCTACTCACAGGACAGATTGCAAGTAATAGGTCCAAAAGAAATCAACGCACAACATCCCTAGCAAGCTTGAGTGGATGGATGGCGGAGCAGTGTTTGGGAGAGATGACAAAAAAACAAAAGTTATTAAGAACTGCAAAGGAGAAGAAATTGTGGAGAGCTATGATTACCAATGACCTAGAGGAAGGCGGCACACAAAAGAAAACAACAGATCGTTATCATGTCCGGTGCAATGAACTAAGATAAATATTTCTGTTTCGTATCCATCTAAACAAGTTTGATTTAAATGAAACAAAAAGGTGCATTTAATTTTTTATATATTTTTCCAATTTTCGGAGAAGGTTATTATGCTTAAAGTTGTGGATAAACTGTCCAAAGTTCAAATTTTGTTATTTTTGTTCAAGTACTTTCGACTATCGCAGAAATTATCAAGTGGTGTCTGTGTGACAGCTTCAATTCCTTTGTCGATATCTTGGTACAAACATTTATCAATTAGACTGATAAACGTTTCTTATTTGTTCTTTAGCTTATCATTGTCAAATTTCTATCCATATTTGATATATATATATATATATATATATATATATATATATATATATATATATATATATATATATATATATATATATATATATATATATATATGTGTGTGTGTGTGTGTGTGTGTGTGTATGCTTGCGGCCGCATCACTTTGATACACCTGTTCCCGTTCAATCACCGGAGTTAAGCAACATCGATCCTGTTCAGTACCTAGATGAGTGACCGCTTCGGAACACCACCTGCTATAAGCTTGGATGTGCGGGTGGTGTAATGGATAATACCTCGGAATTGTTAACCGCATAGCCGAGTTCCAGTTCTAATTGAGTTCGTTATCCTTTACGCGCAAATACTCTTAAGAAAGGTAAGAATCTACCTCATCTTCTCCGTCTAGGTACCTGGTCTGTTGCACCTGCTGTACATCTAATGATTCTTGACAAAATCCAAAGAAGGTTCTGCAATACAATCGATCTTGACCAGGCATCTCGTCTCCAGTCACTTTCTCACCTCGACGTCACGTGGCTCCCTCTGTCTGTTCTACAAATATTATCATAGTAACTGCTCGGATCAGCTTTTTTTTTCTAGTGACCCGACTACATGACTTTCAGCGTGCTGTTATATTGGCAACTATGTCTCACCGTTTTACTGTTGAATTTGCTAAGATGCAACTGTCATTTTTACTCTAACAATTTTTCTCTCACTTCCCACCTGCGGAACTCCCTTCCGATTTCAAGCTTCCCTGAGAACTTCAATCTTCAAAAATTTAAAATTCAATGTCAATCACTATCTTCTGCTCCCTTGAGCCCTGTTCCTTCTTTGCCCTTGGGTCAATCATCCTGAGTTTCAACCTCATTCACTTTCACCCCTTGTAACCTCCTGCGTACCAGTGGTATTACCGCTTTGCTTGGGGTGAAATGATTTTTAAAATTCTACAAAGAATCCATAGTCCACTTGTTAAGAAAATGTCAACCTATTTATTACTGCAATAGTCTCTCATGAGGCACTCTCACTACAAGTCCCTGACTTCATTGCACCAGGCTTATTCTGGCCTTGGTCTTGATATCAACCCAAATAAAACAAGTCATTCAAACAGCATTTAAACGACTTGATCCATCAGCTCGGCTGCACGTTGAAAACATTTCTTTGTCTAATGTTTACTCATTCATCCACCTTGGCAGCGTCATATCCGATAATGGACACATCGATGAAGACATTCTCCGGCAGATAAACTTCGCCTCTGCTTTTTTTTTTTTTTTTTTTGGACGTCTCCGCCTCCAGATTTTCTCTAATAGTAACCTCCAACTCGCTGTCTAATCGAGCTATGGTTGTACCAACATTGCTCTACGGTTATGAATGCTGGACCCTGTATCGCCGACAAATAAAACTACTTGAGATATTCCACATCCGCTGCCTTCAGCGAATCTTGCGAATTACATGGAAGGATAAAATCCCCCACACCGAGGTTCTTCAACGTGCGGAGGTCGTCAACATCGAGGCCATCATACGACAGCGCCTTCTACGTTGGGTTGGGCATGTGCGGATGTCGGGTAGTCGCCTCGCAAAAATTGTATTCTACGGAGAGCTCGAGATCGGCAGACGTCCACGTGGCGACCCAAAGAAACGGTTTCGGGACTACATTAAGCGTGTTCTTGTCTCCTGCAATATTGATCCAACACAAGTCGAGAACCTTGCAAAGGATAGGGTCGGCTGTCGGTCTCACTGTGTCACGGGAATGGCCCACTTCGAGGAGGAGAGGCGAGAAGCGCTCAAGGGGAGGCGACGCCAGCGTCATCTGCAGCCTGCCGATTCCGCACCGGGTATGTTTCCCTGCCAACTGTGCCAGAGAGCTTGTCATTCTCAGATCGGGCTACTATCTCATTTGGCATCCCACAGAAGACGGTCATTGAAGGATGGACAGCGTCGTCGTCAGCAATGACGGACAGCCAAAAAGAAGAAAGATTACTGCAATAACGCAGTGGCGTAGCTGGGGGGGCGGACCGCCCCGGGTGCCAGCAGAGGAGGGGTGACACAACTAAGGTGCCAAAAATAGTCTGAAAACAGTGGTGGAGACACAGGGTTTCGCAGGCTGGCATATGACCTTCCCCCCGAAATAATTTATGACCCCCCCCCCAGTTTTGTCTCCCCGTCAGAAATATTCTAATAAATTGTCGGGAAATTTGTGAGTAGGAAAAATAGCAATGTTTTCAGCTTTTGATTTGAACTGATTATTTTGTGGTATTGGATTTTGTCTTGGATCATACATGTAAACAGTAACGTACCGGTCAGTAGAGTAAAGTAGAGGTAGAGCATGTATGAAAATTTAGCTACAGCTAACCATTCAGCATAGGGTGAATCGGGGTCATTGGGGTGACATTTGAGCGGACCGCCCCGGGTGACGTTTACTCTAGATACGTCACTGCAATAACGATATACTTTTGAACTTCTTAGTTATAAATCTAGAATCCAGTGTTTTGTCCCTAAATCGAAATGGTATTTCCCGCTGAACTCCCTGTTCCAATTGGTCTATAGACGCTCGGACTACCCAGCCTTGAGATTGAACTCAGTTCTACGGAGATCGAAGGAAACTGAGAGTGTGAATCAATATCTCTGCTTACCAAGCTCCAACCCACAGGAATGGGTTTCGAAAGATACGAAGAATAAATAAATGCAATGCGTTTTATTGCCTGACAGCTTCAGAATAACAAAGACATTTTGCATCTAACGTTTCATACGTGAAAGAGGAGAGGAAAGATGTGCCTTCTTTGTTAGTATAAATGGTTCTAAATTAGATCTTCAAACTGAATCTGAAAGTCGTATTTCATTCAAGACAAAACTATTTACATAAATTGATACAGAAAATATTGTCATAAATAAACAGTCAAACGTCAGAGACATTTATTCCACTAATTGATGACCATTTTCTCAAATGGCTTTCCTAACTATCATTAGGTTTGCTTTGGTTTGATTTGTTTTGTTTTACGGCATATCAACTTCAATGGCTTATTTAATTCCGACAAGATTTTTATTGCTGGTAATATTTTTCCAAAAATGTATTGCTCATAATATTTTTTTCTTCAATAATATATTGCTGATAATTTTCTTGTTTCTTCAAAAATCTATTGCTGGTAATAACTATTTACAAAAATGTATTGCTGGTAATATTTTTTTCTTCAAAAATGTATTGCTTGTAATATTTTTTCTTCAAAAATGTATTGCTGGTAATAATGTATTGATGGTAATAATGTATTGATGGTAATAATTTTTCCTCAAAAATTATTGCTGGTATTAAAACCTATTTTTACACTTTCATAATGTTTTGACCCCAGTCAGTCAGTTATGTGCCATGCGTGATACACGCTTAGGCGATCATGTGTCTTTCGATATATGACTGACGAGGCAGATTTTTTCTGCAGTAGGTTGCCATTTCTTTCTGCGGTAGACCAGTTGCCATCCAAGGCTATAGAACCTGGTCTGTCCTGCTATTTACCCATAAATGGAGGGAGAAGAGGATTCATACCTTTCCCAAAGGTATTAGCATGTAATTGAATGTAATGGATTCGACTAGAATTCGAACGGCTCTCCGATTTCCAGTCGAATCTGGATACAAGTCCTACTAATTAACTCAAAGCTAGGTGTTGAATAGGTGGATTCATATCCTTTCCCAAGGGTATTAGCGCGAAAGTGAATATAACGAACCCAACAGGAATTGGAACTCAGTTCGCCAACTTCCAATTCTGAGCCGTTATCTATTACACCACACGTATATCCAAGCTTACAACCCATCTAAGTACTGACCAGGCTCAACGTTGCTTAACTTCGGTGATCATACGAAACTGTTTTTTCAACATCATATTGGTGTAAGCCTTCATTTTCCGCATACCTAGTAATGGGTATGGCATCCTAATTGTAGAGAAAGACCACGTAAGGAAAATATATACGTGTATGTGTTTTATCACTTAGATTTATGTCTGTTTTTGCTTCAATCATAAACTGGACACCGAAAAATATTTTTAATCATATATATATATATATATATATATATATATATATATATATATATATACTTGAGCGCTTAGCCTTGGAGCGGGTAGAATGGAGATCAACGTATTTTAGTGGACTCAGCAATTTTCAATCTGCTTTTCTGAATCATCTTCAAGAAGCGAGAGCAAGATCTAAAAGTTCAGCCAATCTAACAGTGATCTCATCTCACAATCCTCACACTTGCTCCATATGTGATCTCCTTTGTAAATCACTAGCGGGTCTTAAACGCCACTTAAGATTATCGCACAAACTTTCATAACTGAATCAATAAGCTGTCAGATCCTCATACGTCGAAACCGACGGGAGAGTCCATTATATATAAAAGAAAAAGCGCGCTGATACAAATCTTAAATCATTTTTACATAAAAATAAATAAATCCCATCATCAAAAATTAAATTAAATTAAATAACTAAATAAATAAACTTGCAATTTTTCAACGCGTAGCAGTCTCAGCTGCTGCTGTTAACGTCGGAATCCCGGTGCTTCTGTAGTTATACTATGTCGTCGGCGTCGAGTACCTGGCCAAAATGGTTTATGCAAATGGCCGTAGTGGCTCAAATGACACTTTTACCTTGGAGTCGAATTGTTGGTAGTTTATATAGTGTCGGAGTGGTTCGAAAACTAACTGTTGGATGAAACTGCGTAGGTCTTTTCTTATTGGTCAGAAAATATTTTTATGACTAATTTTTTTCTCTTTTTTTTATCTCTGCAGTGGATGCGCGGATCCAGGTTAAAATTAAATCAATTTGTATCATTTCTCTTTTCGTTGAAGAATGGAAATTTCGACAGACTATGACAATCTTTATATTATCTAGTCTGGTGCTTCTACAATAAATATTGAGAATCTTGACAAAATTCAAAGATAAATCTTTTTTTCTTTTTAAGCGTTTCACCCCAAGCAAGGGCACAAGGGGTTATAGAAAATTTGGAGCAAGATCAGATAGGAGTGATAGAAGAAAGGATGAGGAGAAGGGTAGTGGATAGATCAAGGCATTGACATTACATTTGGATAGCTGGAGATTATAGCTCTCAGGGAAACTGGAATAGGGAAGGGAGTTCCACAGGCGAGAGGTGCGAGACATGAAGCTATTGGAGTAGAAGAGACGGCTACATTTAGGAGTTTCGACAGTGAAGGGGTGAGAGCGGGATACCAGCCTCGTCGGGCGCTTGAACTCATGAAGTCTGGGAACCAGCGAATGCAGCTCCTCGGAGCAATTGCGATGAAAGTATTTGTAAAACAGAGAGACGCGACGGCGCGTCTGTGAGAAAGTGTCTGTAGACGAGATGCCAGAGCAGGGCCAATTATATTGCCTCTGGAGCCTATCAAGAACCCCGGGGCAAGCAGAAGGGGCTCCAGACCATATATGGCAGCAATTCTCCATGCAAGGGCGAATTGTTGATTTGTAGATCTGGAGGATCGATTCCGGGGAGAAAAATTTCCTGGCGCGGCACAGGGAGCCAACTTTCCTTGCGGTGGACGAAGCAATGTTATTGGTCCTGACTTGATATCTTGGCTTCAATCACTTTCCAACCACCGTAATGTATTTTCCCCGTGCTTTCTCTACAAATATTTTCATGGCAATTGTTCCGTTGTGTTTTCCTTTTTGGTACCTTGACTTTGTGAATTTAAGCGAAGTACGAGATTGATATATAAGTCTCATCATTTTACTGTTGAAATTTTCTACATGCTACCGTACGTCCTATGCTAATAGTTTCTTCTCTCGCACACCTCACATGTGAACACTCTTCCAGCTTCTTGTTTTCATTTCAACTAGCAACTTCAAAAATGTAATTGCAACGTGAATCGTAGGCTTCCCTGCCACATCATGTTGAAACATGAGTTCCCATACTATTACCGAAGTTAAGCAATGACAGGCCTGGTTATTACTTAGATGGGTGACCGTTTGGAAATGCCAGGTGCTGTAAACTTGGATGTAAGCTTGGATGTGCGGGTGGTGTAATGAATAATGGCTCGAAATTGTTAATCGCGCAAATGTTCTTGGGAAAGGTATGAAACCCTCTCTTCTTCCCCAATCTGTGGGTTAATTAGTAAGAACTGTATCACTAAAGCATTAGTATCTCAAATCTTTAAATAACCTGCAAAGGTTTGATAAACCATTGAAAATGAAACAATCAGTCAATCAACTTTTATTGTAATTTCTGCTCAAAAACGTTTTCTCAGTTTTTTCGTTCTCAATAACCCCTTGAGTTTTAGTGGCTTTATTGCCTTGATTGGGGTGAAATGATTTTTAAAAAATTGTGATTGTCGCGGAAGGAACGATGAAGTGAATATCTCCTTTTGTTTCTTTCCTCCCAGTCGTCTTTCTATTAACAGTACATTATTATTAGTAGTAGTAGTACATTATTATTATTATTATTATTAATTATAATATTGATAATATTAATTAATATTAATAATATTACTTATACTATTAATAATATTAATTAATATTAATTATTATTAGTATTAATTATTAACATTAATATTATTATTATTATTATATTATTATACCATAATAATATTATGTTAATATTATAATATTAAATATTAATATTATAATATTATATAACATATATAATTAAGAATCATTGAAAACCCCTTTGAGTTATTCAGCTAGAAAATGAACAGATTAAAATCGTTTTGTGTTGAACACACTATGCCTTCCTATCTGAGCAATGGTGAGATGAAAAAGATCATTCAGACCTTCAGTAACGGTACCAACATTCCTACTCTGGCTTCCATCTTCAAACTATATTCAAGAACCATCAAGAGAATGGTGAAAAAGTTTAAAAAGAAGGACAAGTAGAGAGGAAAAGTGGATGAGGAAGTCACAACAGTATGAGGGATCATCATTTCAACTTTGTTATTGTTCAAATTAGAGTCCAACAGTGTTATAAAAACCCTGGAATAATTCCAGTAATAAATCATTTCTAAGATAAAACGGTTCAAATCTTAATCTAAAAATTGGACAATGTTGCTCTTACATGATTTGGACAATTTTGCTGTTACAATCGGTATAAAAAATATAAAAGAAGAATCTTTTTCAGAATCCATGTTATAGATCTAAAGATATCGACATTGTAACCCATGAATTACATCGGGTGTATAATTCTTAACAAAGAGGTTCTCAAACAGAAATGGCAATATGGCATCATTTGAATTCTTCATCTCATCTTCTGACAAATAACAGCTATATTAAGTTCCTGGGGATGGCCAGAGAATGGTCGAATGCGCTAGGATTAACAATAAGAACTACACACAATTCTCGTATAGTCCTGGATCAACTATTGTACTAAAACAAAAAATAAGAAAATATTCCTTGCCTGTCGTATTCAGCAATTTCTAAATAATTAATGCATTCTTTTTATTATCCTATAAAAAATCTGACTGATTTCATATAGATTCTTTTTAAATTAACTTTTTCAAATGTAAAATTTCCAGCAACCCTCGTTCGTGCGCATGTGTAGTCACACCAACATAACAATTTTAATCCGAAGAAGTCCTAAAGGATGAAAGGCGTCACAAGAAATCTTCTTGCACTTTGTCATACATTTTCCCCAATATATATATATATATATATATATATATATATATATATATATATGTGTGTGTGTGTGTGTGTGTGTGTGTGTGTGTGTGTGTGTGTGTGTGTGTGTAAGTATATATAGTATTTAGACCAAATTATTTTCTTCATTTCGTATATATTGTAAAGGAACGGTAATACCAATTGTAATTTGGTATAATCGACATTTGATTGAATGTCAAAATTTTCAAAATGAGTGAATTCAACGAGCATTTTTTATATATATTTATATCCAGAAAAATATAGTACAAAAAGGAAAAAAATATATTTATGTGATTATCTGTTGGCTGTGTTCGAGGTATGCAAATGCGCCGCGTTGTTCAGTGAAGACTGAAAAGTCGGTTCACCCATGGAATGACGTCCCCCTGGCGGGGGGAAACGAATCACATCTTGTTGCTACCGCAGCCTGTAGGTAAAGAGAGAAAAAACGGAAGAGAGATTGCGTCCTTTCTTTTTAACTGAATACAACAGGCCACCTACTGGGCGTTAAGAAAAGTCTCCTGGCAGACAAGACGAAGAAATTATATATATATATATATATATATATATATATATATATATGCGACTTTTTTTTTATTTGAGTAAATGCTCTGTTTTTAATTAAATAGTATTTATTACATTTATGTGAAAATTATATTTACCGGCCTGAATGTTCGAGAAATTTCATAGAAAATATGCATTCTCCGGCAGGAATCAAACATGTAACATCTACGGAAATGTCATTTGGCCTGACGTTCTATGACCGTTTAGCAACAGAGGACTTCCGGTTTAGCAAAGGTCAAATTACTGCTTTTAAACACACGCCTTCACAGATTTTTCTCGATCTCTAATATCTGCTCTGAAATTGTAGCCTAACGTAAACAATGATAACATATTATTTGAAATGGATTAAATCCAAGAAATATTTGAATATATTTTCTGTTTATACGTTTTTTATGGATACACTTATTTGAATAACTGCTCTGATTTTTTTGTTTGTTTGTTTTTATTGTTTTTTTTTTTTTATTAAACAGTATTAATTACATTTACCGGCCTGAATGTTCGAGATATTTCGTAGAAAATGTGCATCCTCCGACAGGAACGAAAATACTTAAACGATACATAATACCCCAACCAATTTAGAAGCATTTTGTATTATAAGCTGCTGCCAAGTGCAGTGCCAAATTCCTTAAAATTAGACAAGGAGTTCTTTAGCTAGGGCCGTTTTTTTCTGTTTTTACGGTATTTTTAATAGGAAATTCAGTATTTGTTTTCAATACACATTCTTATATAAAAATCGCTTATGTAAAAAAAAACACTTGTATATTATATTCCAACTATTATGTTCGTGAAAAATAATAAATATTCATAATACATTATAACAATACTAGTGCACCCGTGCCGTCAAAATTGACGGCAAGAAGGAATGTATTATAAGTAATATGCATTATTTTGTAATTTTCGTTTAATCCAAGTACAATTCTGTATCTGTTTCTTTTCATGGCTTCTTTCGCTTTGATCGTAGTTCGAAGAGACAGGGAAAGAAGGCGGTTGCTTTGTAGTTTGTCAGCGCGGTAGCTTTTGCGTGTGGATGTGAATGTATTATGACTTTTGTGCGTCTGATGTCAAAATTTTGCACACTACCCTCAATTTTTACACACAAAAAAATGAAATATATATATATATATGTGTGTGTGTATGTGTGTGTGTATGTGTGTGTGTGCGTGTTTTGTGTATTATAAATTTGCGTATTATTAAACAGATTTAAATATACATAAGACAATATATACTTATACGTTCTATGACTACACTACATGAGAATTTTTTTATAAACAAATATCTCGGTTGTTTGACAAGAATCTAATAGTTGAAGATGTAATGTAGTTATATCATTGTAAAACGTAATCTGTTTGATTGGAAAATTGTGTGACATTATTTGATGGTAAATAAATAAATAGATGCACGCTAGTTTGCTGCCGTTATGCATCTTAAAATAAATGTAAGAAACAAGTATGTATAATAAAGATATAATTAATATTCTGAAAAAAAATTAGAAAGAATGAAACTAAGTGCACAAAAAGGAGGCACACATACTTTATTTTATTTCCATAAAAATGAATCTGCCTAAGAAGTCGATTGCTGTTTTGGGGTGGAAGTGATATTAAATTTTGAAAAGTATAATACAGCAAATTCTAAAATTGGTATAAATTGTCACCCCAGGTTTACTATGAATAGAAAAGCATTTACAATATATTTATTAGTACATTATTTGATGCTATATTCAAGAAGTCTGCCAATTCTACTTAGTTACAGCGAAATATCTTTCTTTTCTATTTATTAAAATTTAAGCAAATATTTAAGTAACTTTCATACTAATTCTTGCATTATACCTAAGAACCACAAGTGCTGGTCAAAATCTTTTCTTTTTTTTTTTAATGAAAACTTGTGTAGTATCATAAATTCTGAAAAACTTTTATTTGTAAAATTTTCCTTTTTCTTTCTCGCTTTCAATTTAAAAGACATAAAAGCACCAGTAGACAATCAGAGAAATTCTCTCTTCCGTAAAATGGTACAAACAGCACAAGGAATGGCCAATCACGAAATAAAGAGTAAAGAAATTGAGCCAATCCTCAATTTATCCAAAAATGTTACAATCAAGAAGATTTTATCAGAAACTTCAATGGCGCAGCTCACAGTGAAAGTCAATCAGATACGAGTCGATATATCTGGGAAACAAAGAGTCAGAATAAGAAGGATATTTCGAAAAGCATATTTATATCATAAATTTTGTATTTTTTTCTTTCATTTTTGGCGCACTTATCCTTGGTGTAATGGATGCTGGGCTTGTCTCGCTAGATCAATTACGACTGAATAGTGAGTTCGATCCTCATTGAGAGCTCCACCATTTCGGCCTTATGCCACATCTTAGCTCCGCTTAGAAAATCACTATAACTTTCTTTAAACTACACAGTGCTTGTTTTAGCTTTGCCTTAAATATCTTTCTTTCGGATATTTTCTTAAATATATATTTTATGTAATATTTATAGAAAAACATTTGGAAAAATTGTAGACAAAAATTTGAATAAACCGTTTTTATGATCAAGTTTTTAGGGTCAGTTTTTTACGCAAAAACAGGGGGTCGCACTATACATGGGTAATTTTTTAAGAATTTAAAAATCATGCATTTTTGGTGATGAGTTATACACAGGTAAGTTTTTCTGGAGGGATTAAAATTCATGCCAAAAAAACGTCTTATACACGGGTATATACGGTACACTTTGAATATAACTGTGTCTAGAATTTATTGACAATGTGGGAGATTATGGTTCTTCACCACATCCTATCCTATGTAACTCTTAGCAA